GAGAGAGAGAGTTACGTCAATTCTTAAAATAAGAATTTGTATATTCAAGAATTAGAGAGGTTGTGATGGACTGATATTCCAGTTGATAAACTTTAAAAGAAGAAAATGAATGAATAAATCATCTGTTTTCTGTCGCAAACGGATGATTTATTTATGCATTCTTTTAAAGTTTAACAGCTGAGGTATTAGTTCTTTGCATTTATATTTAAGTACTAAATCATTTTAATTTATGTACATTTTAAATATGTATAGACACGTATAGCATATAGATGGCATATAGAAATACCGATTAAATCTTTTTATGCACATAGAGGAAAATTGCCGTCTAAAATTATCCTCCTCAACTATTTTTCATTATTTTATTCAAATTTATTTTTAAAGTTTTTAAAAATCAAGAAAAAAGAAGATTTAATCATATCCTTTATATCATATCATAAAAAGAGGTTACAATAAATTAATTTGTTTCTGACAAAAGATCAAATGTAATAGATATCTTCAAATCTCAAACTCCAATATTAACTTCAATATTAACTATAAATTAATATCAAAAGAGAAATATAACAACAAACATCTCAAGTATGATTTTTTAGCAATTTTCCTTTATGTTCTTTCATTTTCTTCATTTATTAGGTGCGATGCGCTATATCCCTTCATAAACAAATGTTAGGAATATTATATTTGTTAAAAAATATTAAACATTTTTACAATCCGTATTCTTTATGCATATTAACATATCGGAGACGCTATATGAAGCGAAGAATTCTTTTCTCTCACGATAATGAACAGGTCAAGGATATACAACAAACACGCATGTTTTTTTCAATGGAGAAGCGTGCAATCTATTTTTTCATCATGAAGTGTTGTTAATAATTACATGATAAAAATATTAAATATTATTGTATATTCTCTTACGACGGAGAAAATCAATATATATCAGAATGAAAATAATTTTTTTTCCGTGATAATAAACGAGTCAGGGATATGCAACAGACGTGCTTTCATCCCTTGAATGGGAAGCGCATGATGTCATCGTCCCCAACTGTGCGCGCGCATTACTACTGTCTACGGATATCATCGCAGCATACAAGAAAAGGACGAATAAGAGTAAAAGTCGACTCATCATCATCGTCACCCCTCGCTCATGCTGCTCGTGCAGGCGTGCCGACTGGCAGGGGTAGATCGTCGAGAGAATACGGGGCAAGAGGGCGAGTCGCACAGACGTGCGCATCGATCCCTTGAAACTACGCCAGTTTGGTCCAGGGCGTTGCGACGTTTACAGCATCCAGTGTACGCTCTCGATAACGTTTTCTCAAAAAATCGTTTATCTCTTCGGAACTTGCACGTACTCCCTTCTTATCTCTCTGAGGAAATTTTTAAACATCGCATCTGTCACGCGTGAGCATGAATATATCGGATGATACATAGACATCAATTTGTATACGTATATACGTATGTAAATGTGAAATGCGCAACGGCGATTCGGACCATGTGTTTAGACGTCAGAAGAAAGTACAGTGTCGCACGTGTTCGCCTAGTTTTGGAGCGGAACTTCATGAGAACGCGTGTAAAAAAACAGAAACCATGAACGAAGATATGGACTAAAGACATGTGCACCCCGGAAGAAATAAAGGTAAAATGATATAATGAGCAAGTAGAAAAACGATGAAATTTATGAAAAATCGTGATTACTTGCCACAAAGTAGAGATTCCTGCTGATTATTAAAAGAAAAAAAAATAGGACAGAAGTAATTTTAATTCTGCGAAAATAACGCGCGTGACTTTTCTAAGACCTTCATTTTTATTTATATCATTGACAAAGAAAATTTCTAAAAAAAAAATCGAGATCAGAGTAAATTTTAAAGTCAAATTTTTAAAGATATTTGTTAATAAAAATATTATAAAGAAAAATTTTTAATAATTTGAAGATTGTAAATATCAAAATAATATTGTTCAAAAAATTATTAAATTATACAATTTATTGCATTGAAAGTTAAACACCGGAAAGTGTAGAATCGAAAATGTCGGTCCTTTGTATGTAGATAAACGGCATGTAAACGTGTTCTGTAAAGGCGGATATTGGTGTAAATATATGAAGGTCTTGCTCCATGGCTGATAACGTATTCGTGTGTGTGTGTGTGTGTGTGTGTGTGTGTGTGTGTGTGTGTGTGTGTGTGTGTGTG